ACTTCTTCCCCTGATTGGCAATCTGTTGGTCTATACAAACTCCGTTTCATCACATGGAGTACCCACAACATTAACTCAAATCGTCAAGTTCCATCTTATGGCGGTTGGATCACCAATAGAGACCTCCCTCTTCACCTTTGGAACGATACCGTCATCCCATTCATTGGGGACAAATGTGGCGGCTTCATAGAAGTTTCTAAGCAATCCTCTAGCCTTAGAAACCTGATGGAGCTTAAGATAAAAGTAAAAGAAAATGATACGGGTTTTCTCCCTGCTTACATTGAACTCCCAACACTCCTCAAGAGGATGCCCTCACCGTACACATTCACCCCTTCTTTACTGACCGGAACTTAATCGGAGCTCGCGGAAATCAGGGAAAAACTACAAATTTTTCGAGATACAACCACACAGCACTGGCCGGAATTTCCACTCACCGGAACCACCAGTACTCCAGCCGGAGAGTTCTCCCTCGAGAAGCCTGTCACACCTACCCCATCTGAACCACTGACAGAGGATGTTGACCCATCAAAATCACCCCCAACCTCGATTAAAGGGAAGGAAAAAGTCACTGCTACCCTCCCTCCCTATGAACCGCCTCCCAAAGCATTGGTGCAGAAGCCATCCCCCAATCATGTCAAAAAAAATCACGTGACTAATAGGGATAAAATCCAATCCATCTCTCTCCTACAAAGAAGGAAACCTAGCCCCATACCTAGCAGCCCTTTCATTCATGACCTTGATGAGGTTGACTATTTTTCGAGTCCGCTCCCCGATGATAGCCCACTTTTGGCTATCTGCAATAGCCCATCCACACCCATTATCCCCACCATTCTTTTTGGTGATTTACCGATCACCAAGACAGCACCCTTCACATTTCTACCCCTACACAACCCCACTCACCATCCAACACCCTATCCATCGCCAACCCACCCAAACAACCATCTTCACCCCCATGGCCACTGACACTGCCGCACTACCCACACTGGCAGACACCTATGACAGCCCTATCGTTACTGACAAAAACCTGGCCAAAAACCTCTTCTCTCCAAGCTATCTCCAACGTTACTTGGCCAGCTACCTACAGGAGTCAAGTTTATGCATCATGTCCATCCCACAGGTAGAAACTAAGGCCAAAAAGCCTTCCAAAACCCAAAAACCCAAAACAGGCATGCGAGAGCTAAAGAACCTAACCTCTTCCATCAACTATGATAAACGAAAGCTTCTAAAGGGGGGACCATCCCGTGCCATATGAAGATCCTCTCTTGGAATGTGAGGGGTCTGGGCTCATGGAAGAAGAGGGCCCTCATCAAGCAAACTATCTCCCGCATTAATCCTAGTGTGGTGATCCTACAGGAAACAAAGATGGCTATTATCGACCCCCCATTGTTAAATCCCTTTGGAGTTCCCATGGGATAAATTGGGCGACTCTTAGCATTGCGGGTACGGCTGGTGGGATACTTATCCTTTGGAACGACGCTGCCTTTACAAAAAGGGAGATTATTGAAGGTGTTTTTTCCCTTTCCCTAAATTTTATCTTAGCTGACAGTTTCTCTTTCTGGATCACAGGAATCTATGGTCCATCCACCTCTGAGCACCACCATCATTTTTGGTAGGAGCTCAAAGATCTATCTGACCTTTGTGAGGATCTTTGGATTTTAGCTGGGGACTTTGACGTCACCAGATGGTCTTGGGAAAAATCCAGTGGCCGCCCCCGCACCAAAAGTATGCAGACCTTCAACTCCTTCATTGATGGATCTGGTCTCATTGATATTCCCCTCAGCAACGGCAAGCTCACGTGGTCCCGGAACCAATCGCACTCCT